ACCGCGAAGCAGCCTGAAATCGCGCTCCACGGAGCAACCTTCTCAAGTGTGTGTGTGTGTTTGTGTGTGCCTAGGGGGGGGCTTGCCTAGGAGGAGATATAAATAGACCAAAGGGTGCTGGGCCAATTTGCATGGCAATGCCTTGCATATGGAAACACGTGCTAAGTCCTTTGGTGGCCACGATGAGACTGGACAGTCTGGAGTCTACAACTGCACGCCTGAGATGAACCCAGTGGGGAAGCTCAGCACAGCTGAAGCAGCAGTGATGTGTCCTTTCGTTGTGTATCAGCAGGAACTTGGAGGAGACTGGAAGTCGAACCCTATTACTATTTCCCCACCTGCCTGGTGAGGGTTGTTAGATTTTATCAGAGCTCTCCTCCTCCTTCTCCTCCTCCCCGCCAGCAAGTTGCAGCAAGTGGCAGAGTGCAGTGGGCACTGCCGGACCTCAACAGCAAGTGCCAGATCGCAGTGGGCACTACCGGACCTCAACAGCAAGTGCCAGATCGCAGTGGGCATTATACCGGACCCCAACAGCAAGCGCCAGACCGCAGTGGGCACTAGTGGACCCAAACACACAACACGCAACCACACAACATAACCGCAAACATACAATACACAATACACAGCCAATAGAGCACAACCGCAATGCACAAAGACAAAGTACAACCACAAACAGGCAAACCACAAACGCAATCGCACGCACACACAACCACGACACAGCCACAAACACAAACACAAGCACAAACACACAACCACAAACACACAACCACAAACACACAACCACAACACACAACCACAAGCACACAGCCACAGTTACAATCACAAACGCACAACCACAAACACATAAACGACAACACACAGCCACAACATTCAAACACAACCACAAACACACCACTACGAGTACGACAGTATAAATACCTGTGTGTGGCATTTTGTGTGGCAGGATGCCAACTGAAGACCCTCGGCGACACCCCAACGCGAACTCCCTAACACTAAAACACGTGCTCCTCAGCATGGCATGAAAACAAATGATGGAAATGTCACGGTGGGGATCACTCGAAATAGAGTTATTGTCATACTGATTCATACTGTTTTTCATTTCGGATTATATATGCAATGTATTTTGGCATATTTTGGCTATTTCTGATATAGTCTTATATGTATAAAAATGTACATTTGCAAAAAATTGTTGGCAAATAGGGAGGTGGAACAAAAAAAAGGTCTCGATCCCAAGGTCCGGCAGGATGAGGTTCCAACAGGGGTGACCCAGTTTCGCCACCGTGTGACACATCCGACATGGAATGCGTCGGTTGAGGAATATCAGTTCTATGACCGCATCGTGCCTTGGCAAACGCCGGAAGTAAGTGGGCGTCCATTCTGCATGGCTGCAGTGTCTGGGGCTTGGGATGGAGGAGTGATTGAGTCTTTCGAGGCATCGACATCTAGAGCATTCTAGAGATGTACACCTCGTTTCACATTCTCCAATGGAGATGCACATGGTGACATGAGCCCCGAGCCGCTGTGATTCTTTACCAATCCAATCCCGTATTGTCCGTCCATTTTACAATTCGCCACTTCCAGCTTGGTGGGACTCACACGTTCTGACTAAAGCTAGGCCAGCTACGCTCCAGGTTCCATGATCGAGGCTCCTCCTCCCCATCGTATTGACTTCTTCGAGCCTCACCTCATTGCTGAGGTCATGGGTCGTGTACGAGGATCCCTGCAACAGGTTGCAACAGGGGGGCTTTGGCTGGGTGGTTTGGACGAGAAGTTGCTGGTACACTCAGCGGCCTTCAGTGTCCATCATTTCTGGCTATGGATGTTATTTTGTCATTTTAGTCATCTCGTCTCATTTTTCCCGTTGGAATGGACAGAAATGCGCCTGCGACCATTGCAGGCATTCTTGAGAACTACCCCGGGTGACAACAAAGTTTTATCCCACTGCAACTCTGGGAGTTCCATTTTTTGTTGTCACGCTTCCTTCCCAGCTGGTAGCTTTCCATGCGATCAGATGTGAACAAGGGTGAACACTTTGCAGGCCATTCTGTGTGTTTCATGTCCTTGATTGAGGTACCCAGAGCCCGCCACATTTGGAGGCTTTCATGAACCGATGATAACCGATGCATGGCACCAGTGATTTCATGAATTTTCCCGTCCCCACCATGCCCCCTTAGTCTTACGTTGTTCTTGTATAACCATGTCCAACATGATCGACCCATGTCATGGAATTCGATGAGAAGAATACGTTACGTACATAAGTTCCGTGGTACCCAGCCAAACTGCTACGGCAGTACGCTTAGTATCCACCAAACTGCAACAAACCCCCCCGGTCCAGCCAGTTGTTGTCTCAACTTCCGCAGCTGGGTCTACTTGGCCATCATGTGGTCAGGTCCAAGACGTTATTTTCCAACTGGGCCGAGCTGACGAGTGGTTTCGGTCTCAGCCACTGAGGGGGTGAAGTGCCATATTACGGGGTACCATTTGACCTAGGATTTCTGTGAATCCTTTCCCGTTGACGCACGGGTCAACAACTCAACTGGGTGGTATTCGTTTGAAATTCCGCAAGCGACCGAGGACTGGGCCGCGGTACCAGCTCTTCGAGCGTCTTGGACAGCAAAGGGAAAGCCTGGAGACCATGGTGGTCATTGGTGTGGAGACGGCCCTTGGCCAGGGTGGTTAGAATTGCGACGTGATCCACACTGGTTGCCTATTTGTGTAAATATACTGTAGACTTTATAGCCATTGTGTTCATTCTTGACTTCATCAGAGGACTAATTGTACAGGCATTCGGTATTGGCAAAGAACCGGTGGTCACCTCCTTCCTCCAAAAGCCTCCACCGAACACCTCCTTCTCGAACAAGAAGGAGCTAATGGGCCAATGTCAATGTAAGGAGTGAGTTGAAAGTTTCTGCCACCAAGCCCTCGAAGTTGTTGTTTGAAATCCCACATCGAAGTGGCTTGTCGGTTTGTGATATCTACTGTTAAGCGATACTGTAATTTACTGATGGTTATACAACATTCTCGCGTGGAGGTGTTTGAATCGCGCGAAACTGTGGCTCTCTCAATCGCATTCCAAGAGCGCCAGGAACAACTGCAACCACTTTTGCTCCGACTTGTGCTGGGCCTTGCTAAGGCCATTTTTTTGCATGGCTTTGGAGCATCCAGTCAGACGATTTGGCGTCGCAGGTTACCCGTTTTGCACACAGCAACTCATGCACCTGCACCTTGCCTGTGGCATGTATTGATGCCCCCACACACACACATCCACTCAGATTCCACCGATCCCACGGAAATCTATCCATGTTCTTTCCACCGGCTACGCTTCTTCCCTTGGACCAAGCCCTACACGACGCCGCGAGCAGCCGCGAGCAGCCCCGAGTCCTGCACCACTTGGTTCAGGCGCCGGCCACCAGATTGGATCAACCGCACAGCGGAGAAGTGCGCCAGGCGCAGCAGCGAAGCATTCGACCTGGGCGGAGGCGAAGATCGTCCGGTGATTTACTGGTCATTGAAGTTGATAGGGCATAAAGAGTCGGTGTGTTTGCATCCCGTTGGTTTTGTCCACGTGCTCTCAAGTAGCTTTTGTTCTGTGCCAACCCGGCTCAGGAGTTCGGGAGGGAGTTCTGGTTAATGACCATGTTGATGTTTGTGAGCTCATTTGGTCTCAGGTTGTGCAGCTATACACTTGCTTTGATTTTTGAATTAATTAGTGAAAGTAGAGGTCAGAGTTGGGATTCAGCTCCATTTCCATGGCATGTGTTTCACCAGAGTAGTCACGCAGTTCTTTGTGACGATAACATCTTCGTGTGGCAGCTGGTACGCCAGCTGGATCAGACATTTCCGTGTCGGCCGTGTTGCCGGATTGGTTCTAGGCCGATGGTAGCCAGATTCCTGCACAACTAGGTGATGGTTACATGATGTTACATTGGTTTGAACCCTAAAGTTTGTGGCTTCATTCAAGGAGGCGTTGAAATGCATGAACACGCCCTAGGATCTCCAAGACATGCAATTATTGCATGCTGAAAGCAGAGCGTTCTGGCAGAAGTCCCGGAATCGCTCTTTGGGATCTTACAAAATTGGCCAAAAATTGACCCTGCTGGTTTCAGTCGCATGTTCAGCCATGTTGGATGACGATCCATACCAACATATACCAACCTCAGAACCAACTTTTTTGGGGTTGCGCCAGCAGTGCCTTTGAACATCACTAGAGTGAGGGCCGGCTGGTGCTTTGTTTGACAACCGTCATTTTTGCCACGCCTCAGCGGAGGCAGAATCGCTTGAAGCACAGCAAGGAACAGGCTCAGCATGCCCGCGTCCGGCCGCAGGCGATACAGTTGAATGGTTAAACACGGAGAAACATATTGGTAGTTACACCCGAGAAGATTAACATGCAACCTGAAAAGGGACCTGTATTTTTCTACAACCCAGTGGTTTTCAGGTTCCATGTGGGTCCCTTCCAGAGTGTGATGGTAGTGGCCTGCAAAGGTTCAACAGTCCGGTCTTGGATCCCAAAGGCGCAGCAGTTGGAGGATGCTCCTCGATCTCCTGGTTGTCGGTTCTTCCACTTTGGATCGCCGGATCTCGGCACATGCAACCCGATCGTAGTGATGCCTTTTGCTACGTTCGTCGCTACGCCAGGAGCTACGTTCGTCGCGTCCGATCGCTCCGTGAGAGAAAGACGATGCCCATACAGGTAACCTGCCTTCCATCCCCGTCATTTGCACCCAGAAAGGATGCGAAAAGTTCTACCGACTCCATCCGTTCGCCAGGCATTCATTTATCATACTTCCAAGAGCTTCCAAGGAACACGGGGAAAAACCAAGCTGGTTCACTAACAGGTGTTCTACGACGACCACAACTCACATGTCGACTCATCAAGTGCAAAGGTATGCAGACATCACAGAACCCTAGTGCCGCCGCGCAGAATCGCCTCATATACCCTTATACAATTCCCAGGTGCCTATATAAGACTTGGCGGCACATAGGTCAAAGGCGTCCTAAGGCGTCCAAGGAAGAAACATCAAAGACTCAAAGATGTCCTGCGAACTGCGCAATTCCAGGGCAGTCCTTGTGAAAGAAGTTCACCGAGGAAGACGACACAATGTAGAAAGAACTCGGAAAAGAATGGAAAAGATCCACAAAGATTCACGCTGCACAAAATACGGCAGACTGGAGACATATACACTTTGCAAACAAAGCAGGACAAAATAACATAATTTATGTAAAACATGCACTCTGCACACGACGTGACCATTGCATCATCGTCGAAGGACTGCGAGGATCAAATGCGTGATGCAATTTATCCAGCATCCGCTTCCAAAGCTCTGAGACGTAGAGCACCGAGCCACTGTCAGAAGCAGACAACGATTACATAGACCCCCTAGCATAGATAGAAAAGTAGATCCCCACCCGTGCCACATGGTGTCACTATCTATTTGGGGAGCCCTATTGGAGCGGCCGCTCTGAGCGCATTTTGGAGAGAGCGTTGCATTTGCGCCGATGCATCTCACCGATGTTCAGAAATCCCGCGGCCCGTTGAGTGCCTGGACCATCCTGTCCAATAAAAGTTCCGTTCTGAGTGGACGAGTTGGCTGAGTGAGGGGCGTTCTGAGTGGCAGAGGAGCGGTTTCCTTCAAAAGTTTACACCGGAAGAATCTCGACTCACAGATTTCTAAGGGGGCTGGAACCACACCCGTACTTGACTGTCTCCAGAGCATGCAGGGACACCAGCAACAACAACATGTCCTTTGTGAGCGGATGAGCGGGGTGCAAAAATACATCACTCTCAACACCCCTTCCATGAATGTTAGTGGGATTCGTCCCTTCACAGCCTCATCTCCCCCACACGCCCATCCTCAGGTCATCCGCTTGGCCTTGGCGAGCTACAAAGCGCGCCTGGGAGGCTTCTCAGCGCTTGCACTCCTGTGTGAGAAGTGACGTTGTGATGGCTATTGATGGTCAAAATTCCAAGACTCAGATGAAGAGAAGGGACGACCAGCGGTGTCAACCTACAATGTGTATTATCCCCGATGACATTTCCCCTAGGAAATGCAGGGACCTAGGTTGCCTAGAAAATCACTGTATTTGTTTGTAATGAGCTACTTTTATACACTGAGTCTGAGTTGATGCCCTGGCATTTTCTACAAACGAGCAGATTGAACATGTTGCTTTTAGTTTTGCATTTTCTAGCAAGTAATGTCAGTGAGATGATGATAGGTCATGAGTCATGGTCATTTGATTTTGCATGTTCTGGTACATTTGGGGGAAACCAAGCAAAACACGAGGGGACAGGTCTCTAGATAAACAAGAGAGGAAAGAAGAACAGGACATTTGTGCTGACATTTTGAAGCATTGAGCTGCAGGTTCCTTGAAAATTGGCTCTATATATGTATATATACTATCCCTATCCCCCACAATGTGCGGCTTTGAAAATTGGGAGGGGTCAACGGGTCAACGTCGAAACCGGTCATTCTTTAAGAACATGGGTGGGAGGACTAACCCCAAGGGATCGCACAGATTCATTTTCTAAAACAATCACAGTTTACTCGGAAATGATAAACCCATGAAACCTGCATAATCTAGAAACAAAAATACATGCTCTTGAGGTCATTTCTAAGGATCATCTTGTTACATCCATGTTTGTTTTGCAGCCGCCAATGTTCTCCTAGAAAATGAGATTGATTTTTTTGCTTGTTGATAATTTTGAAGCTGAACCTGGACAGATCATTTTCTAGGGACTAATTTTGGAAGGAGCCAGCCCACCTTGAATTCTAGGGATTCTTTTCCTGAACGTACCATTTTCTACTCCAAGACACTTGCCTTGTAAGCAAAGCAGGGAGCAAAACAGAAAAGGACACCTTTGCTGACATTGCATTTGAAGCGTTGAGCCGCAGTTTAATAGACAATGGGTTCTACTAGAATTATGTCGGGCACGCCAGCCATAGATACAAGGAGCCAAAAGAGTTTTATAAAGCAAAAACAAAGCAAAAAAAAAGCAAAAGGCAAAGCAAACAAAAAAGCAAAAACATGTACAGTAGCTGTGCGTATTTGTCGCTTTTTTTTCACTTTTTTTTTCGCTTTATTTTCGCATTTTTTCGCTTTATTTTTGATTTTTTTTTTTTCGCTTTTTCTTTTTTGCTTTTTTCCTAGGAGGGTACACCAAAAACATATTTGTCGCTCTTTTTTCACTTTTTTTTTTCGCTTTATTTTCGCATTTTTTTCGCTTTTTTTCACTTTTTTTCACCAAAAAAAATATTTGATGGTTGGCCATGTATGGCTGCCATCGCCCAACATAATACTAGAAAATGACTTCTGGGATGTCCATCCCTGTTTGTTCTGCAGCATTCTGCAGCTGTCAATGCTCTCCACTTGAATTCTAGGGACCTTTTTCCTGATTTGAACGTAGCATTTTTTACTCCAAGAGACGTGATTTGAAACCACCTCACCTAGAATTTCTACTACGTAGAAAATCTAGCGGCCCAGGCCCTCCTTGAAATATCAACAGTAGTATACTGTATATATACACACACTGTATATGCAGGTTTGGCTTAGTGTTGAATTGTTTGGAGCCACAGCAACACGCATTTGAAATTTGGCTGCTACAAATGGATTGACAGCTCCTTGGATTTATTGCAAGCCATATGCAACAAGTCAAGAAGTCAAGAAGGTTTGCCACCAACGTTTTAGTGGTCGGTTGACTTTCTTGGCAGATGGTTTCCTATAGATGTGTTATGCGTCCAAGACCTTGGTGTCAACAGCTGATAGTTTTTGTCATCCAAAGCCTGCTGTCCGACTGGGTCCTCGAATGTATGTGGAGCTGTCAACAAATGGTGGCCAACCGCCTGGCATAGGCACAATGTTTGTGTTGAAGGAGAACCGACCAGACTACTCAGTCTTTTTCCAAATCCAACACGTGTGACACACATCAGCCTTTGCTGCGCCGTCCTTAACATTGGAAGCGGGGCACTTGTGGTTCGGCCGCTTGAGCCATGCCGTTGCAAAAGCTGTCCGATGCGTCACGGCCAGCGCCCAACGAGCCGTTTGGCGGCAGAGTGAAGGGATGCATCGCCACAAGTCCAGGAGGTTCGGCAAAGCATGGCAATGCCACAACTGGAGAGGCAATCGCTTAAACTTATGTTGGTCCATGTTGGTCCATGGCTTAATTTTGATGGCCTTAGAGTGGAAGAATGACCACACACAGAAAGCTGTAATGATCATTCATACTCCACACATTTTTGTGGGTGAAACCATGCTGTGGTTGTGAACAGTCGTCATCACACTGTCGTTGCCGACGCGGCTGAGGGCCAGCTCCACCAAAGTTTATCGCTGGATCGAATTTGCCAACAAGGGTGAGCAGATCACCGAGTTTGACGAGAGCCATTTTCAGCTGGAAGGACTGTGAGTCTCCAACCTAGTAGCGATGGCCTCCAACCTAATAGTATATAGCGATGGGCTCCAACCTCGTAATAGCGATGGCCGCCAACCTTCACATGCCAGAACATGGAAAGATTTGCATCCTACGCTATTTGCATTTGTGCATGATTGTTGTGCTTTCCTGATCTTTCCTGGAGTACAATCAGATTAGAATCAGCTACACATCAAGATGTAGAGCACAGTAATTCAGCACCCTCAGTCTTAGGTCTCTGAGGCAATACTGTTGATGTCGGCAATTCACCCATTTCTCGAGTCTCCTTGGCACATATGTGACGTGCTTGTTGTTGGCAAGTTAGCAATTACAATCACATTCTGACGTGCGTGCACTTACACATCCCAGGTTCTTCAAGCGTCTTCGAGTTTGCAAGCAGAAAGGGCCATTTCTATTTTCAAAAGCATTGGGTGTCCTCTCACCTGGTTTGTAAAAAAATCAAGGATGTGTACTGCAAACTTACTTGCCATGAGATGCTAGGTCAACTGTAACATGCAAACCCGCTGCAGTGGACCAACGTCAACGCATATCAACGACTACCAAAGAAAGAACGTCCCTTTGTTACTAGTAGCTTCTTCCTCCTAGTAGCGATGGCCTCCAACCTCCTTGCGATGGCCTGCACCTAATAGCGTCCTTTCTCTCCGACTTCCCTGACCGGCAGTGCAACCAACGGGAAACTGTAGGACATTTCGAGTCCAACTCCTCAGAGGGCCACAAGGTCTTCCAGGCGCCCGTTGGGGTCGTCGGCTGCTTCATGTGGCTTTGAGTCCGATCCTATGAGGGCATCCTTTCCGTAGGCGGCGTTTTTGGGTCAAGAAATACTGAGGTCAAGAACCGCACTTGGTTTGAGAAGGGGTGTTTTGTTATATGTGTGTTTTTATTGTTTCTTTCTGTGCTTGTTTTGCTTTGCCTTGCTTTTCATTGCTTCTTTGTGAATCCTTTTTCTTACCGTGCTTTTGCTGCTTTTTGTGCCTTCTTTCTTGCTTGGTTCGTTGCTCCTGCTGTTGCTCCTGTTTTTTTCACACCTTTTTGTTGTTTTATTTTGTAGCGTCATATAGTTGTTGCTGTCGCTTTTGATCAGTTGCTTTTCAGTCCTTGAGTCAGGGAGGCGTCATTAATGTTTGTTTGCCTTTATGTATGCTTTACATACTTTTGGTGCTTTGCACCGCCGGTGATGCACCTGTCTCATATTTATTCGCCGTGCGGTCGAAGTTGTGTTCTTCTTTGTTTTAACTCTACCCCGGACGTGGAGCCCGTCAATATGTTCATAGTTAAAAAAGACAACACAGTTTTTGTAAGCTATATTATTTCACCACGTGCTGCAGCAATAGAAAGCATAAAGACGCGAGACAAGCACAACCCCACAACAGTGGATGCTAAGGGCCTAGAGGGCTTTGCCCTCTCATATATGATGCAGATGCTAAGATCAGGATGCCGAGGTTCTTTTAAATTAAGATTCGATATAGTATAAGAAGCTCAAGACAACAAATGTTCAAATAGAAGGCAACAGTTTAGTCAGGGATCTAAGTAAGGTTCAACAAGAAGAATGGACCAGGCCGAGGTTTTATTTGCAAAGGTGTGTGTATGTGGGCAGAAAGAAGCTCATGGATGGATGACAAAACTTGCCTTACGATTCATTTGCGAGTGTCAAGATTCAAGACATCATCATCTTCAGTTATCCCAATCACCATGATAGACAGGAAGGGTGGACACGGTCCGCTGCCCAAAATTGCGGTTTCAAATACAAGAACAGCGCCGCGAAGTGGGTTCCGTTTCCTTTCTCTCCTCGGCTCTAACCCGGAGTACCAACAAGAAGATCTCACACTTGTATTGAGAGCTTTTGATTAGTTTCTATTGGAAGTGCCCCCGGTTCAATTTCCGGCTCGGTGTCAAAATAATATTTTCACAACTATATCATATCTAAATATGCGTTCAGATTACAGTGCTGCGATTGCCCGAAATCTACACTAAGTCACTGAGATCACTCAGAGCAGTGCCTTCTACAACTTTTGTTCCAGCTTACAATAACAAAGCCGGCCGCCCGCCATATTTGTTTTTGTAATTCGCAGAGTGCTGCACCTGCCACCATCGGAGAAAAACAATTGCACAACAACTTAACATAGATCCTTTTTGGAATCTTTCACCGGCGGTTACACATCAGACCACCGCAACCCCATAACGACGGATGCGAGGGGCCACCAGGCTTGGGCCATCTCACAAAAGACTTGAATGCTTGGATCAGCGAGGTGTACAACGAGCTGCCAAGGTAAACTTTAAAGAAGGAAAGCAAACATTCCAACATAATTAGTACATCTTCTGTGAGCCAATCCAGGTTGGATGCTAAGGGCTACCAGGCTGTTGCCATCTGACATAAGACCTCGATGTTAAGATGAGCGCTCCGTGCTTCCCAAAGTGCACTTGGAGGTTCACAGAACGCTGCCCACCAAGAAATCTGCATGTCCAGCTTTACCGGCACC